GCTTGGTTGTCTGTCTCTAAGTGTAGCCCTGTGATAGACTGGTTACCTGTCCAGGTGAACCTGCCTTCACCTTGAGTCAGCTGGGATAGACTCTCCATGACCCCAGTGAGGATAAAGGTGTAGAGATGATGGATGGATGGATTGATGGAGTAATTGGTCCAATCTGTATGTGTGTCTGTGAACAGTCTCTAGCTGGAGTGCTAATGTCTAACAAGTTGATATTCGACAGGTGAGCCAGGAATGACCTCTTCTCTTAATGATCAGATTTTGGGGTCACATGCCGTCTACCTTCAAAAGGGCAGAAGGTAGATTTATGGTATTTGGTGCAGATAAGCAGCCATGTTGGGGCTTTCCATTTGTGACATTTGACCTTGGAGGATATTTCAGGTTGTAAATTTTCATCGCACTGCAACCTGAAAACTGTGCAAGATGGACACAGTGTTATATCCAGGCCTCCCACTGGGGGTGTAATGTTTGTCCTTGGGTGATATTTGAAGGTCAATGCAGTTTGATATTGCCATTATATTTTTAATAACATGTAATGTGTACATTGATATTATCCATTTCATCTTGGATGACGAGCCGACCACGACTAGTGAAAGAAAACACCAATTTGGTGGTAAGCTGGACAGAATAATGGCTTACTGGGGCGACTAGATCCCTCTACTGAAGACAAGCTAGTGTACAGTATGTTACAGTGGTAATAAGTGGTACGAATACATATATGTATAGCTGTGGATGCAATATAGAATAGATATAATAGATTTAAGTGTACATGTATGGATAAATAGTGGTTTAAACAGTATAGATGGCATGGATAGTATTCACACTGTTAACACTGTGAGAGATACGGTTGAAACCAGAAGTTTCCATCCATCTCCTCAGTATCTGCTAGCGTTGCCTTTAAACTCTATGACTTCGGGTCAAACGTTCTGGGTTTCCTTCCACAAGCTTCTCACAACAGTCTGATGAGTTCTGGTCCATTCCTCCTGACAGAACTGAGTCAGGTTTGTTGGTGTCCTTGCTCCACTGATGTTCTCCAGGATGGAGATCAGGGCTTTGTGATGGCCACTCCACAACTCTGACTCTGTTGTCCTGAAGCCTCTCTGTAGCTAATCTGGCGCTATGCTGAGGGTCATTGTCCATCTGAAGACCCATTAGTGTCCAAGCTTTAACCTCCTGCTGATGTCTGGAGATGTTGCTTCAATAATGTTCTTTCCTCATGATGCCATCTATTGTGTGAAGGTCACCAGTCCCTCCACAGCATGATGCTGCCACCCCCGTGCTTCACAGCTGGGATGTTGTTCTCAGGCTTCAAGCTTCCCCCTTTTTCCTCCAAATGGTCATTAAGGCCAAACAGTTCAGGTTTAGTTCCATCAGACCACAGGACATGTCTCCAGAATGAAGCTCTTTGTCCCTGTGTGCATTTACAAACTGTAATCTGCTTTATTATGTTGCTGTTGGAGTAACAGCTCGTATCAAATCAAGTGTCGTATCGACAAATCGACCCTGATTCGCTGATTTAAGTTAATATCTTGAGTTAGTTTAACTCGTTTCCCCAAGTTCTGCTAATTTAACTCAGCTGGTTTTACACTTTCACAGCTCATGAGACGACTTTGAGCTAATTAGTGCCGTTAACTCACTTTCTTAAAGCAGCGGAGGGACTGGAAGCTGCATAATTGATTTACAGTGTCGGTATGAAAGAGGCTGAGGGGGAGACAGAATGGGGAGGAGAAGTCATGGATGGAGAGAGATGCTGTTGCCTGGAAACAGCAGCCCCATAGACCCCCATTGAAAACAACAGCGGGATTATCTGATGGAGTGAGGGGGACACTGAGAGACCGCCTCTGAATTTAGGGATAAAAAAAAAAAAAAGCTGCTTCCATGGAGGGATTTGGACAACAGAAGGAAACTAAACAGAAGCTGTTGAATCGGGTGAAAACGAGACTCCAAAGCAGATCTGCATGAGGCAAGAAAAAAAAAAAGAGGCGAGGGAGAAGAGATCATGATGCCAGAGCAGATGCATTCCCATTAAAGGAATTTAGTGTCGGTGGACGTCGGGGCTGAGAGGCAGGCTGTCGGCTCGCTCTTCACGGCCAGTCTTTACCCCGACAAAGGTGGCCAGAGGCGGAGGAGGGGAAGGGGGGGTCCAGAACAGAGGTGGTCCCTGTCCTCCCACACCTGCTGCTGCTGGCGAGGACACTGTACCACTGTGTCCCTGCGTGTGAATTAAAGCAGGACGGGGATAAAAAAAAAAAAAGAAATCAAAAAAAGAGGGAATTTCTTCAGCCTGACCCGTGTGGTTCTGTTGATGTGGAGGACCAGGACTTTGCTAATCTTTGCATCCAGACTGAGACTCTGAGGGGATCTCGCACCGCTCATGTGAGTACAGACTCTGATTTCTGCATCTTTGCGTTGATATTCTGATATTCTGACATTAGAGAGTGTGCACTAAAGGAGGGAATCTGTTGGGTGGATGTTGTGTTCGGGGTGACCTAGAAAGCCTGTGGAGCCATTTTATTTTCTAGCACAATGGAGGGAAAAAACCTGCACAGAGACACATTGAATGAGCATTTATTTTAATGCACATTCACACAGCTTTTAGTAGAAATCCTTGCAGTCATGATTCTCCCCACAAAAACCCATCGATAGCAATTTATTCTCTCCTCCACGCCTGCTGATTTCATTGGGTTTCAGTCCATCTTGTATCTTCACTTCATTTTTTCTTCTTCTATCGATTTGTCAGCCACAAGTGCTTCCACCAGTAGGGTTAGGATTAGGGTGTCCGCCATCGTTTTTGTGCTCGGCCAGCAGGAGCTCCATCATCACACTGGGCTCGGTTGTTCTGTGCTTCTCCTAAAACCTCTCAGCAGAACGTGATCAGACATCACGGATTTCATACATGACTGGAAGAAAACAGGACTGTGGATGTAATTAAATACCCAGAATGACCCGGGCTGCTCTAATTAATGCGCCTCCATCGAGCTGTGATGGTCGCAGTGTTAAATCAGAGCAGGGTTCGTTAATGCAGTTAGTTAGTTGAATGAATTCCCTTCAAATGTTGGCGACATGAAGCCCGAGGGGAGATCAAAAGGCAGCAGCAGGATTAAGGAGCAGCGAGGAGGGATTACGCCTGGATGTCGTCCTCCATCGCGGCCTCCCGTCTCTGGAACATTTGTGATGTTTGACTTTGAGGAGGGCTGAGTCGGTCACACGCTGCTCACATGTGTTCAGGAGGACGAAACCACGTGACCCCGCCGAGCTTCCAGCCCCGAAAATGTCCTGAAACCGAGTCAAGTCCCTCCACAGAGCAGTGCAGCCATGCAGCCGAGTGTCTCTGCTGATATTATGTGAATCGTTGTGATTAATAAATGTCGGTGTGCGCCCCTCCAGGCCCCGGCTCTCCTCTCCGAGGGATGGGCACCACAGAGGCGACTCTACGAATGGAGAACATGGAAGTGAAAGACGAGTGGCAGGATGAAGACTTCCCCAGGTGAAGCTCTTCTCTTTTCTTCTTCATGTTTTAAACCCTCCTGTTGGTGTTAAATACAGGAAGCTGATACGAGACACAAAAGATAAACTGAAGGCTTAAAAACATATTAATGCAACAGTTTGCATCAGTTTTTTGAGTTCAGACAACTTCTAATGAACTTAAGTTGGACCAACAAACTATATCAAGTTCAGGGAAAAAGGCTTTTTTCTGCAATCAAAAACTTTGGTAGCATGAACACAAATGTTCCTGAACTTAAGGTGCAGAAAAATGAACTTATCAAGCTGCTTTTATTAATTTATTACAAAATAACTTTACTTTTAAATCAATTAATGCAAAAAAAAGTTTAAATTAGACACAGTACCGTCACAACTGGTCAGAACAATGTTTGCACCATTAAAGTAATTATGTAAAATTATGTAAATCAATACATTTTTAATTTCTAAATATGCAGTATTTTTCCACTTCCAGGTGAACATCACGTTGCTGCAGATTTAATATGCAGTGAATTATTCATTCATTTCCAAGCAGGTTTTTTTTTTTAATGAGTCAGCAGCTCATATTCTGCTTGGACTGCTTTTCCTTTTATAAAGCGGTCGTGTATTTATCACAACACTCCTTTTCTTTTCTGCACTCTAAAAAATATGTTTCTATAAAATAACTGGAAATGTACTTAAAAGGAAAATGTCCCTATAATAATATACTAATTATTTGTTTTATTCTTTTTTTTCTATTATTTTTATCATTAGATTTTATTCTATAATTTTATGTATTAAAATATGTTTAAAAACAACAACAACATAAATAAACTAATGATTCAGTTTGAAATTGCAAGAATTGACTGTTAATTTTTTAGATCATATCAAACTGCAACTTACCCTAAATATCTTATTTTTATTTTTTTGTTTGTTTTTTTAACAGTTACATAGACACGTCAACTCACAGTTTAATTTTGTATTTTAATTTATTTTTGATTCTAATTTTTAATTTTGACAATTTTCTATTTTTCAAAAATGTGAAAAAAATCCTTCAACTAAAAAGAAAAAATATGTAATTTAATTTAAATTTAATTTAATTTAATTTTTGTTTTATTTAATTTTGCTTTAATTTTATTTAATTTAATTTTATTTTATAGTGTTCTTAATGATTACGTCTACATTTACTGTTGGTGCACGATTCATATTAACAGATACACACTTTAAAAAAGATTTATTTTTATATATATTATTGGCTGTTTTTTTTATTATATATTTTTTTCTACTATTTCATTCATTATAATTAAATTGAGAAAATGCCACATTGCTCCTTGTTTTTGTGGACAAATTTCCACTTTGCAATCACAAAACAGTTGAGATGCTAAAAAATAAACAGTAGAAGAAGAAGACGTGTGCTGCCAGACAGCGCTGGGCTCCATCCTCCTCCTCCTCCTCCTCCTCCTCCTCCTCCTCCTCCTCCGTCGGATGGAGGCAGGGATCCAGGGAGCAGGTGCAGCTCCGTCATGTGACGCCACATCGCCGCCGATCAACAACAACCAGTCCAGGAAAATGGTGGCAGGTTTTGGTTGAAGGCAGAGACGCAGGAGGAATCCAGGAGATGCTCCGTCTGTAGCTGCTCTGATCCGAGCCGAGGAGAAACCAAAGCCAGAGGTGTGTGAGAGGCGGAGAGGAAGCTGATTCACATCCACTCTGACAAAAGCCGCCTCCAGAAGGTAAGAGTCACAGCTCACTGAAGGACAAGGCAGCCGTAAACAGGAGCTAGAAGGATGCTTTTGTTAAGAGAGAACCTCCCAGAAAGGCTTTAATTCCTGACAAAGGAGTGGTGATGGCTGCAGGGCTCCTCTGGGAATATAGTCAGCAGAGCCTGGCTGTCTGGTGAGCAGCAGGAGACTCTGTCCTGGATGTCAGATTCACAGCGACGCAGCTCTGACGGTCTGCTTTAGTCGCACCAGCTCCCTGCTGCAGAGTCGACCTCATTTGCACACCTACAGACGTTAGAGGAGAGGAGCCAGAGCTGGACGTCCTGTCTGCAGTAAACAAGCTGCAGCGTGACGGCAGCACTTTGTCTGCACAGACTCTCTGAGTTCCTCTCCTCAGGTCGTCCTCCTGCTCTCTGACTCACAGCCTCTAATCTTCTCCTCCTGCTCTCCCCAGAGACGAGCTGATAACCACCTTCATCCTCCTGCTTTCAGGCAGATCAGCGACTAAACCCGCAGCCTGTCGTTGGGTTTTAGTGACACCACCAGAACTCCATAAAGTACCTGGAAATCTGTCCTCAGAAACAAGGATTAATGTATTTTAATGGTGACAGTACAGTAAAACAAAGGAAAGAAAGAAAAAGTATAATATTTGCATCTTTAATGGTAAATCTGCTGTAAAAATGAAAAAAATAGTAAAAATAAAATAGAATAGAATAAATTATGGATGTACCAACAATAAAAAAAACAACAACAACTAAAAAAAAACACGAAGTTTCAATATTAAATGGTGAATCTGTCATAAAACAGCGACAAAAACATGAAGAGCTTCCTGTTATTTGAGGGTAATGTCTGATATATTTCTATTATTTCCACTTTGTTCCATATCTGTCGTGGAAAAAAAGGACAATTTCTGTCATTTGTTAGTGTATTTATGTATGAAAATAGTTAAATTTTCTTTTAATTAATCATGTGTCCACAGTAACAAGCACTAACAGGACTATCTTAGTGTTTTAATGGACACTGAAAAACAACATTTTTTATTTTAAATGGTTCATTTATTGTGAAAACACAAAGTTTTCTGCTCTTTAATGGTGGATCTATAGAAAAAAAAATTAAAAACCTTAATTAATTGCAGGTCAACAGTATAAAAGAGCAGCAGAACTTTTTCTTGCTATTTCTTGGTAAATTTTAGTAAAAATGCATCTTTTCTATGATTTAATGTGTATTTATCGTCACAAGCAGGACATGTTCTGTTGTTTAATTGTTTTGCTGCAGAATGAAAACTGAAAATGTTTCATGAATCCATAAAAACAAAACCCAGATGCTGTCCTGTCATTAATTTATGGTTCAAATATTGTAAACAAACAAACAAACAAAAAAAATCAATGCAATTTTCTGTTAGTAAAATTGAGTTAGAATAATTGAAAAAATATATTATATAATATGTTTCACATTCCAGTGAGAACATTAAATGAACTAAAATAAAACAGCTGTTTATTTTTGCTGATTCGTTAAATTCTCTCTGAACAGTACAAACAAACAGAAGCAAAGAAAACAATTAAATCAACTGATGAAGTTGAAAATGTGAATAAACAGAAACACTGGAGCCTTCAGATGAGTTTTATTCAGACATACAGTTGTGTTCTAAACATCTGTCTGTGTCTGTAGGTCAGTGTGTGGTTTTAAAGTTTCTTTATTGATTAAAGCTCAATAACTTCCTGAAGCTCGTCTCTCAGCAGCAGCATCACCTCATGTATCTTCATATATTCTAGAGAACAAGCTCGGTTCTGGTTCTAATCAGTGTCTGTCTCCTGCAGACCGCTGCCAGAGTACGGAGACATGGATCCGTCCTGTGGCCTCACCGACGACAGAACCTGTAAGTCCAGAAACGTCAGTACCGGTTCTGAACCGTGGAGCTCAGATACTGACCTCCTCTGCTCCTCCTCCTCTTCCTCCTCTCCTCCTCCTCTCCTCCTTCTCATCCTCTGCTCCTCCTCCTCCTCCTCCTCCTCCTCTCTGCAGCTCCCCCCGCCTCCCTGAACGTCAGTCCCCCTGGAGGAGGCGTCGGCGTCTCCTCGTCCCACCGGAAGCGCCGGACGCTGGTTGCCCCGGAGATGAACCTGTCCCTGGACCAGAGCGAAGGCTCGCTGCTGTCGGACGACTTCCTGGACACGCCCGACGACCTGGACATCAACGTGGACGACATCGACACGCCGGACGAAACTGACTCGCTGGAGTTCATCACCAACGGCAACGACCTGGAGTGGGAAGGTCAGAGGTCACCGGGTTCAGGCTTTAACCCTAAAATAAGTTTAAATGAGTTTTATTTACAGCTCTGGTCACCAACGATCATTTAATGTTGTAAATCTTCAGCTGGGGTGTTTGTCTAAACCTGAGGCCTTAATTCTAAACCACACTGTGGAAAAAATCACACAAAGAAATGGTGAAAAAAAAAAAAAAAAATTATCAGACAAAAATACATTAAAAAAGTGAAATACTAAAGCATTAAAAAAGCAGTAAAAAACAAAAAAAACTGTTTAAAGAAACAAACACTGCAAATATCTGTAAAATAATGCTTTTTAAAATTATTATCATTTTAATCAGATTTAAATACAATGAGATTATACTAGATGCAGAGCAGTCAAAAAATATTTTTCATACTTTAAACCTCAATATACAACTTTTTCTCCACAATAATGGAAAATATATGTAAAATATTGTTGTTTTCAGATTTACTGAAACGTGTAATTGTGTCCGTGTCCAGACTCTTAATCTGACTCTGACTCTGACTCTGTCCAGACGACACGCCGGTGGCTTCGGCCAAAGCGGCTCCAGCTGACGGTTCCGGTGAAGCCGGCGAGGACGGAAACGCCAACAACGGACGCCTCTGGAGGACGGTGATCATCGGAGAGCAGGAGCACCGGATCGACATGCAGGTCATCAGACCGTACCTGAGGGTCATCACTCACGGAGGTCAGTGTCACGGAGACAAAGGATGAACCAGTAAATAAAATAAATATAATCCCTTTAAAATGACAAAACCCGTTAATGTGAGGAAGCATCCAGGTGAACTCTGTCTCCTGAAGCATTAACTGTGAGCATCTCTGTCACCAGGTTACTACGGAGAAGGACTGAACGCCATCATCGTGTTTTCTGCCTGTTACCTGCCGGACAGCAGCTGTCAGGACTACCACTACATCATGGAGAACCTCTTCCTGTACGTCCACTAACTCCTCACATTCAGACAGCAGGGTTCCAGGTCGACCAATAGGAAATCATGGACTGTAAAAAAAAATAAAATAATAATATTAATAACAATTTTATAAAATTCAACAGATCTTCACAGAAATTCTTTTGAACAATTGACTGTTAATTTACAGATTTGGTGTTGTTTTATGAAATTACAGATAATAGCTAATTAAATTATAGAAAAAGAAGTCTTAAGATTATTCTAAGCTGCAGGTTTTTAATGTTTTCTTACATTAGTCATATAAATGCGGTACTTTTGTCATTTTATAGATATTTTTGTGTTTAAAAAAATACAGAAGGTTTATTTCTAAACATACTGGGACTATTTTTACTTCTGTTCTATTATTCTCAGTTAGTTACACTGTAAAATAAAATAAAATAAAATAAAATAAAAATTACCTGTAATATTTCTGTTTATTATTTTAAAGACTTTTTTCTGTTTAGTTAAATTACAAATAATCTCAAGTATGATCACAGAAGAAAAAATTAAATGACTGGAAAAAAAAAAAAAAAAGAAATGGTCCCAAACTGTAATCCTGTAATGTTGAATTAAAAAATCTATATTTTTACACATTTTTAACTGTAAAATAACACAATTTTTACTAGATGTAAATCAGCAGATGGATCATTTTTTAAAGTGTTAATTTACAGATTTTTTTTCAGTTTTGTAAAATTATAGATGACATGCAGTTAAATTACAGGAGAAAAAAAAGATTAATTCACAGGTTGACTATAAAAAAAATTTTTTTTTTAAAAAACAAAAAAAAACGGCCACAACTGTAAATAATTTTATTAATGGTAGCTCATTATTTACATTGTGTGACCATAAAATTATCCTGTTTTACTGGATTTAAATCAACTCTAAATATCATTATTTAACAGATTTTCTATGTTATTGTCTCTCTACACTTTTTGAATGTCACAGTATTCAACCATTTTTTAAGTATTTTTTTCTGGCTCTCTTGCTGCCAGATTTTTTTTGATTTATTTATATTTTGCTGATGTTTTCTTTCCTTCTCCGTCTGGCAGGTACGTGGTGAGCAGCCTGGAGATGCTGGTGGCTGAAGATTATCTGATCATCTACATGAACGGAGCGACGCCTCGGAACAAGATGCCCGGAATCAGCTGGCTCAAGAAATGCTACCAGATGATAGACAGACGGTAAGAAAGTAGTGATGGGTTACTGTAAGCAACAACAACAACAACAACAACAACCTCGTGTTGCTCCAGATGTTCACTTTAAACCCGTCTGACTGAAGAACTGGGTTTTAATTTGTGCTGCTGTGTCGCAGGTTGAGGAAGAACCTGAAGTCTCTGGTCATCGCTCATCCTACATGGTTCATCCGTACCGTCCTGGCCATATCCAGGCCCTTCATCAGGTGACAAACATTTAAGAAACATGTGTTAACCATCACGTGTCTGCATGTTTGAATAGAAACTGTGATTCAGGTTCTGTTCAGTTTATGGTTCTGTTAGTTTGTAATGTTAAGAGACATCAAAATGCTCATATACGATGCAATAACTAAGGACGCCCCATTTTTCTCTGTGGATACGCCATTAAATAATTGAAATGTACATTTTTAATTATAGATTTACTGTTAAATAGCAGAGAAATGTCCTGTTTTAGTACTACTGGCAAACCATCAACCATTAGTAGTATTATTTTACTATAGATACACAATAAAAAGCAGAAAATGTTTGTTTCATTTGCTGTAAATATACCCTTTAAAAAATTCTAGTGTTTTTTTTATTACCTAGTCACCTATAAAATGCAGATATATAGCTAGAAATACTGTTAAATGATGATAAAAACACCATAAAATGATAGCAAATGTAATTTTTTATAGGTTAACCATTGATTAATAGGAAAATGTGCTGTCCTTTAATCTTGGTCCACCATTATTTATGTAATCTTGTTTGTTTTCTATCGATGCACCATTAAAAATCTGACAATATTCAGTTTTTCAGTATAGATACACCATTAAATTTAAATTATCCCAGTTTTAATTCTATAGAGTCACGACTACAATACAGAAAATGACCATCCAATACTTGTTTTTGTTATTTTGCGGATTTATTTTGCAGATATAGACCAGAAAATGTTTCTTGGACATTATCGACAGAATGTTTTTTTATATTTCTAAAGACGTTTCACATGTTTTGCAAGAACATTTCTGCCATTTGTACAAAGAAAACTCAAATTATAAGAGACGCGCTCGCTGTAACTGTGTTCGTTTTCCTCTGCAGCGTGAAGTTCATGAACAAGATCCAGTACGTCCACAGTCTGGACGAACTGGCAGAACTGGTCCCCATGGAGCACGTCCATGTCCCAGAGTGTGTGGTGCAGTAAGTATCTGTGACCAGCAGGTGGCGACAACAAGCTGCAGGCAGCAATGAATCCTGCAGCTCCGGGTTTGATCTGAGAAACGATGATTCATGTAAATGTGAACAAACAGAGAAGCAGACGGTTGTTCTGGGTGTTAAAGACGAGGGAGGATTTACTGGTGTGTTTCTCTTTTTCAGATTCGATGAGGAGAGGATTAAAGCCCGGAGGGAAAGGTAAAGCACGTTTTTATATCGTTCTGACAACGTTGCTCGCTGATCCTCGTTCATGTAGCTCATATGCACCCTTAGAAAAGCCCTGAGGTTCTCCAAGGCTGCTGAAATGTTCTGCCTTTAACATATCAGGAACGTTCTGTATGAAAGAGAGCCTGTCATCGGAGGCGTCAATGACATCTGGAAAACATTGTTTGAATGTTTATTAGGGAACATTCTTGTAACTACTCAACAGTGTTCCCAAAACATCCTCAGAACATTGCAGACAGACTGCTCCACCTTTGTTAACGTATCATGTTACAGGAACGTCTCATGAAGAACGTTCTGTCATTTGGAAAACGTTTTCTAAATGTTGCACTGAGAACATTCTTCCTTTGTTATTGTTGTGGAAACGTTTGATAGAAGAACGTTTGTTTTTAGTTTGTTTTATGGACAAACATTCTATAATGTGTTCCCTTAAGAATGTTCCCAAAACATCCTCAGAACATTGCTGACAGAATGTTCCACTATTGTTATTATACAACATTAAAGGAACGTTTCGTGAAAATCATCCGAGGCCTCAATAGCGTCTGGGAAACATTTTTAAATGTTGGTTTGAGAACGTTCCTCCAACATTATATCACCTGAAATGAAAATTTTCCTCACGATTTGATTGGAACATTTTTAGAACTCGTAGGTAATGTTATCCAATGTTGTGGGAACGTTTGCTGCCAGCTGGAGATCTCTGTAGGACAGAGACTGGGTTCAGGCACTTAGACTGAATTAACTGGACACGCAGCAGAGGCTGAGGTTCCTCAGATAAAGTGTGTGTGTGTGTGTGTGTGTGTGTGTGTGTGTGTGTCTAGGCTGGAGCAGGAGCAGCGGCAGCAGGAGCAGCAGTCGGTCCCTCAGGAGCCAATTAAAAAGTCCGAGAGGTGAAACTTCTAACTGGACTCTACAAACTGTCTCATTTTCACATATTTCAGACATTTATCGTGTTTTTTTTTTTTTTTAGCTTCACTAAAGTTCCCAAACTTTTTTTTGTTGTTGCTCATTTTCAGGCCCAAGTCGATGATCGTAGATCAGGGCTTATGAGACGGACGGAGCTCTGCAGGTAACAACAGCTACAGTGTGTTTCCTGTTTCAGCCACCAAGTGGCGCTGTGCTCCTTCAGCTCCACACAGGAGTCAGACTGAGGTCACACATTCAGGTCTTCACTGTTCTTATGTCTGTGAAGATTCTCAGACATCCAGGTCACGGTTATTCTGGTAGATTAGTCGTAGCAGCTGGACTTGCTTGAGTTCCTAATCAATAATAATAATAATAATAATAATAATATCAACAATGATTATTATATTTTTAAATGTAACAATAAAAAATAATCATCATCATCATCATAATAATAACTGAAGCCATTAAAATACAGAAAATGTCCTGCTACTTCTTGTTACTGTGGACACACAGATAATTAACTTTATTTATTTCTTTACTTACTTACTGTAAAACATCTGTGTTCTAAGCTGCCAGTACTCAGAAACGCAGAGAATCATATTTTATTAGCATCTCTCAGGTATGAAACCATTTTTTTAAGCGTCTTCTTTTTTTTCCTCATTTGCAAAACAACTAAGTTTTTTTTTTTAAAAACCCACACGTTGATAAAACACAGTGACTTTAACCCTGTAAAGCACCAGACAGATTCTCCAACATACTTTTACTCTGCTTTTAAACTCCCCACAATCCAAACGCTTCTCGTCTTTCTCTTCACGCAGGACGTGACGGAAGTGAAGCATGAAAACTCTGATTTATATCCCTGAGGAGCCAGAAGTCGAGCCAGTTTATTGTTTTCATCCACATCCGGCTGAAGGTTTGTCATTTTCAGCTCAAACAGTCGATTCTTCTCTCGCTGCCAGCTTCAGCTTGAAACGTGTACAGATGAGGTTACTGCTGTTGGAGGAAGAACTCTGGTTTCTACTGGAAGCTGAATTCATTCGTCTCTAACCTGCTGTGAGCCTGTTGTAGCGTCACTCAACGTGACATGCTGGATTTTATGAGGCTCTTTGCTGCGTTTGGGTGAATGTGAATCCACCAGATTGACTGAGAAATGTAGATTTTCATTTGGAGATGCCACGTATTCACCTGTGATGTCTTTAACGAGGGTTCAGACGCCTTCGTGTTTATGTTGTACCTCATACCTGCTGTACATTAAGGCCTTTCCAACATGTCTACTAACATCCGGATGGTTCGTTAAGTTTCCTTCCATCTGTAGTGTTAAAATGTGCCTCGATCGTCTGACGTGTAAAAAACAATGAAACGTGATCAATATTTACATCCTGTGAGCGTATGAGAAGCTCTATGGGATGCTGTAAAATATTTGTAAATGACTTGTTTATTCTGTGGCCACATACGACTTTAAACGCTTTGTATTTAACAAGCATTTCTGACTCATATTCCAGCTCATGTAGAGGATAAATAGGATTCTAACCCGTCGTAGGCGAAACGTCTGAATAAGATCTGCATCAATCAAGACAAAACACAACAAACGTCGTGTTCGTTTGCATATTGCTCCTATAAATTGCACATTTCTTATAGATTGTTTTTCAACAGCTCAGACGGAGGAAACACCGACTGTACTTGTAAGATTAATGCATCTGATGTAGCTTTAGGTTTAGATTCAGCAAAACCTTTTTAATGTGATCAGATCATATTGAGGAGAAGCTCCTCGGACGTCTTCATGTGTTCATATGATGCTGATTTTTCTTTCATGTCTTCCATCTGTGTTGTAGCAGGAGGCCAGAGGAGTTTTTATTTTTGTAAAAAAAAGTGCTTTATTATATGATGTTGCCTGTTGTTGTTGTTGTTGTTGTTGTTTTTGCACTATTGGATTCAGTTCTAACCAGTGTTGGAGGGGTGTCGCTGTAATCACATTACATTTGTCTGTAATGCACATTACAGTTACTAGAATATTACAGTTACTTCTGTTTCTCTGAGGCAGCCTGTCATCACAGTTTTGGGGTCTTTGGGTTGGTTTTTATCAACGTTGTGGTAATATTTCATTTCGACAGACCTTACGTGACACAGATTTGAGCTGGTATGTGAGGTTTAACCACAGACTGTATAAAAGATGGACGT